CAGGGCAGACAAGAGTGGGAAATGGGAACTGTATCAGGATGACAGAAAAGAAAAATAAGAATTTAGAAAGAAACTTTGATATCAAAGCCTGTCATTTGTGTTGTCTTATATTACTTCTGTGGGGAAAAGCCAAAATAACCCAAAGCAAAAACCCCAGAACAAGAAATTAAAATTCAGCTTAAAATGTCTACACTATGACTAGTTACCATATAATTAAGTTTTGCCAGTCTTCAAGATGTCCTGACTTGCAAGCCATGACATGCTGATTAAGGCATGCAATAGAAAAGAAAGTTCAGGAAAGTAGAGTGTGATGGTGAAGAAAAGCAAAGCAGAAGACAAGGGATGAGAAGATATCCTGTGCAGTATTTCTACATTTTGCAATTTTGCATTTTTGCTAGTGTAACTACCCTGTTACACACTTCAAGCTCCTTCCTTTCATAAGAACACTGAAGACTTGCTTAAGTTAATTCTCATCCTTTTCTATTAGTAGAAAGTCTTAGCTTAATCTGCAAGGTACCTCACCCGAAGGAGCAGAAAGGTGCAAGAATACCCTCCAATCACAACATTTTAAAGACTTTATGCCACACTGCCAACTCAGCCAGTTCCAGCCTTCTTTGACCTCTGCTGTTCACTCAAACTTCTGTGCTCTAGTCTGAAGCCCTCCTCAGCTGTGGCAGTGCAACCATCTACAGTACAGATAGCTAACTGCATTGCTACAGTGACAGCAGCTGAAACAAACAAAGCCATGGTATTGCAAACAGAGTCTTTTAAAGCTTCTTTAAATTGATATCACTTCAGAAATTCTCCTGCATGACATCTCTAGAAGCCCTTGGAACTACAGAACAAGAGCAAGTGACATGGCAGATTTATAAACCAACTTTATCTCCAAAGGCGGGAAAAAAAAGAAAGAAAAAAATTTAAAAAAAAATCAAACAATCCAGAAATTAGCAACAAGCTCCTATTATTTCATAGTTTTGCTTACTCTCCTAACATGACTTTAATTCTAGAAGATTCCACATACTTCTCCCACTATTCTCCAATCTCTTCACTTTAGTCAGGAATAATAACTAAGCCTTAAAAAAAACCCACAAACCCAAACAAAAACCAGCCCACCACCAAACAAACCACAAAACCAACCAAAAAGATATGACCATCATTTATTTGATTACACTTTCTGCATCAGAGGATCTTTTGCCAGCATCCCTATACAAAATAAAATGTAAAATTATAAACAGTGTTCATACTTGCTTTCTTTGGAGAATGCCAACTTATACTTCAACTGATTTTTTTTTTTTACGACTTAACTGAAAATTTTAATGCTGTAGTTTTTTTTAAAAAACAAAACCAACATTTTGCTTACTAAAAAAACTGGTACCAGCAAGAACGTTGTATTTTTCTATTTAAGGAGAGTGAGGAAAAAAACCCCAAACACACTTAATAGGTTCAATTTCCTCCCCCCCCCCCGGTACTGCATAAAAGAATTACAGGATAATAAGACCACAGTACTTACTTAGCCATGAGTTTTGCTATTCGATGACAGTCATTCTTGTCGTAAAACCAGATACTGTAAATTGACACTTGAAAATAAGAAAAAAAGGCAAGTGTAAGACAAAGGTTAAAAAAAATAGTTAAATCAATAGGAAAAAAAGCAAAAAGCCAGCAGTCCATTAGATCTGCAACATATGAATTACCATCAATTTCCACTCAAATATTCTGTGTGTAACCGACTACTATTTATAAAGTAATCAGAAATAGCACATGTGCAAACACAAATACAACTTCAGTCAGATTAAATGCAAGAACTACAAAATGTTGATACTGTTTGTCAATAAAAGTGGCAGGAAAATGAAGTTTTAACTACCAGTTGCCTTCTCACTACAGTTGCAACCTTCTGTTTTGAATTACTGACTTTACCATTTAAACTAGGCTAAAGAATATCCACATTTTTTTTAAACACCCATTTTTAAATTTGTCAATTTTTGAAGCTCAACAAAAATATTGAAGCTTGAATTACAGTATGACGGTTCAGTCAGAGGCACTCTGGAAGGTTCCCTCTCCAAATTCTTTTCGTAAGAGAAGTAATTGTATACGAAGGAAGCAGTACCAAAGCTCCAATCACACTGTCACATTCATGGAGCAGCTTAAAACTAGATTCATATTGAACCCTACTCTTTGAAGGTATCAAGGACAAAGCAACAAGGGCAAAAGGGTTCCAGCTCAGCAAGACACTAAGCCCCTTTCTGGCTTTCAGAATAAGTAAAATTCCACTGAAAGTTGGCAGAGTTAGAGCCTGATCACTGAGCTGAAAGGTAGCCCATCAGAGGGAGAAACTTCGTCAGTAGTGCCATGTACTATTTCTTCAACAGCAATCCCACTTCAAAGTGGCCATTTTTACCCACACACATGCTCATCTCCTCACTGTCCCCACAGTTGTGCCAATACAAGTCCGCAGAACTCTTTTCAAGAATTGTATTTAATCCAACCCACAAAGCAGGTTATTTTAAATCTTGGTTCACCTATGAAGTTTGTCCATGCATAGTGTGCAAGTGCATCAAAGGCAATTGGACACTTTACGTATGTTACCATTAAAATATTTTCGTTTCTGAAAAGACACTTTTAGCCTTTTAAAACTCATCTTTATACTGCAGTTCATGCCAATGTTTTTATGAAGTTGAAATCATTAGCTAGTTATAAAAATATGACTTAAAGTGAACAAAAGGAACGTTTGGAAAAAAAAAAAATACACAACCTTTTCCAGACAGATGTAGATTTTTATTTCAATGTGAAATCCTTTCCTCCCCCTGCCCGCCCCCCCCTTTTTTTTTTCCTTCTCAAAACACTCACAAATCTCAACCAAAGCCCACTCAAAATTATTTCAAGCCATGGTAAAGAGGGCAATTATTGACCAAATTTTTTTCCCAGACCTTCCAGTTATCCTAGGCTTACTGTGCTGGACCAAAACCCTCAAAGAGTCATGCCCACACCTCATTTCTGTAACAATATCCTAAGAAACTGAAGTTCTGCTTTGCTTCTTTTTTATATATTTTATTTAGTAACAACTATATTCATCTGGGTGTTTGTTTCTTTAGAAGTTACAGCTTAAGTAATAGACAAAGCTTTTCAAGTCATAAACAAAGAAATCAATACCGCACAATTTAAGGAACTTTCTTCTTACAAAAGACATAAGCCAATAAAAAAAAAAGCATTTCATACATGTAGCCAATGCTTAGGAAATATTTATTAATATTTACAGTTTAATACAACTGGATTGTCTACTGCATAGAAACCTGAAGAATGTTTCCAGTTTGAGCTACTTCTTTAGTCATGTAGCATATTTTAACACTGAAGAAAAGCTCTTTCCCGTCCCTTACTTCATTATCAGACAAACTGCCAAGAGAAGAAAGCTTCTTCAAAAGCATACTTGCTGAAGAACTGAAGATAATGATATCTTAATGGGACAAATGATAAAAGTCACACTCAATTCTGCCAGAAACAGGCCTACACAAGACAAGAAGTAGATCTAAATCTCAGTTTGGTGTACAGAGTATCAGGCTTTTTTCCACTTTGTACTACTGGCAAGCAATCAGAGGGAGTCACTGCAAAACTTTAACAGTATTACAAAGATGTAAAGCAGATTATGAACAAGTAAACTTGGGCATTAACTTAGATATGGTCCAACAGGCTGGAATGTTTACCTTCCTCTTTTCAAAAGAGAACTCATTTGTACTATCAGATCAGTCCCTTGCCCCAGAAGTATACGTGTGTGTCCCAACTGCATTACTGTAATTGATGTATTTCTTACATGCATGCAACTCTAGCTATGAACATCCTTTTATTAAAAACAGAGTTGGTACTTACCAGTTCTTTTCAAATCTGTGATCTTTTTACTACATCCAGCATAAACATTAACTGAAAGTCATATGTCTAATGGCCTATCTTTCTACTGCAGTTCTTTTAAGAGTTTCATCCAACAGAAGCCACTAAGTTACGTGACTCATTTTTCCATCTAGTTCAACACTTTCCATCCAGCTTTCCTACACTCAATGCTGGGCAGCATCTTTAGTAATCAAGTAGAAGCAGTTTGTAATCATCATCAGCAATATCTTTCAGTTGGATTCACGCTACGTTTTGACACACGTGAAGCCATGAGTAACCCATATCACAGACAAATCAGATTTCATAAAATCAAAAGAAGTCATCAATTATCTTTATCCACATTCTTTGACATATGTCATTTTTATTAGAAACACTGACCTACAAATATTTATCTAAATACGTAACACAACTTCTCTCCAAACTTGACTGGATCAACCATTAAAACTCGATTGAAATTGCTATGGGAAAACAAAGAGATTTTGAGAAAACAAAAGCATTATGGAAGTCTTCCTGCTCAAGCCTAACAGCTGGATGACACCAAAAGGAAGGTCTTGGTCTCTTCTACATTGTACTCCCATTGTTTCATGGGGCAGTCAGCTTACTGTTCAATGCTGCCCAGTTAGCAGATCTGAATTAAGAGTGGGGATAGCGAAGTGCCACAGTGAGACAGAAGCCTCACTCTTTGGCAACATAAAATGAAGTTGCATCCCAAAGCTGTAGTTTCACTTCAGTTGTTATTTTAAGTAAGCAGAAAGAAGCAGTGTCACCACTTTTATGTTCTCACAACTTTGCCATTAACTCATTCCACCCCAGCTCACCCCTCGCCCTTACGTCAGCTGGATACATTTTAGTCCAGACCAGTTCCTTGATACTGTTTGCACATCAGCTTCACTAACATGCCATCTGGCACAAGAGAGAGGGCAGAAACAAGAAGCTGGGGGCAGCACAGTAAGGCAAAACCGTTCAAAGCTGTAGCCTGAGAATGCTATGCCAGAAGAAGTGTACATGGGACTCATCAGCACTGCCAGTTTCAGAGATTCCAGACACTATCACTCTCTTGCCTTAGGCAGTTTAGCCATTTGTGCAGATATAGCTTCATCTCATTCAAAAAGATGGTCTGTTTAGAAGTTACCTTAACTAGTTGGAAGAGCTGACAGAAGAGAGAGAAAACTTTTATTTTATAGTTCCAATTTAGACGTTGCTATACAATGAAGCAGAACAACTAGAAGTGGAGGACAACCACCTTTCAAACTCTCTCCAGAAAGAAAGGACTCGTGTTTTGAAACCCATCCTGTAAGGTAATCATGGAAACCAACCTAATCTCACTCCCATAAAGAAAAGCACATACATGCATCATTTGCATATGGTATATGCATCATTTTACACTTCAAATAGAGTTTAAGGCAAAAGCATATAAAGCAACCTCTCTCAAAGCTCATATTTCTTCCAGTAGCAAGTTTAGCTGAAATGCCGCCTCTCCAGTCAATCTGCTCTAATATCTTCTTCACTGAGATTCCTCATTCACTATTCATATTTTCCTCAATTTAAATATTAGCCTGCCACATAGATTTATAAATCATTAGAATTAATTAAAAAAGTCCCTCCCTTTTGCATGGTTTTAATATCTAAGGCCATTTCACAAATACAGTTCACAGCACAATCCCACAAGCAGTTGCACTGGAGAAATTCTGCAGGTGGCACACAGCATCCGAGATCAGGAACACTTTAACAAACTGCCATCTGACAAAGTATAGTGTGGAATGAGAGGGATTACTACTTTGCAACACTGAACCAGCGCGGAAAACCCCGTCCAGTTAGAGTGCCATCTTTCAGGTCAAACAAAATATTTTTAGAACTTCTTAACAGCTTTCAGTGGTTCCTCCCCTCCCCCTAGCTTGCATCGCTTCTGCTATAAAGGTATCAAGAACAGGCTCCTTTCTTATCTCAGACTAAACCACTGGGTTAATGCGCTTGCTGGAGAGCCATTCAGCTTCGGCAATCACACAGATATGTTATACTTAATGCATTGCCAGCTGGGAACAAAGGTGATAATGAGAGACTTTCCTTACCAGTAAAGATGCCCTGTTTTGAAACCAGTTGGGAGCTCTTTCAAAGAATTTTAAAAGCCATTTGAAATAATGCAACTTTTTGCTTTTGCTGTTCTGAATACAAGTTTGTTTGATTAATGATAATACAACAAGTCCAGAAGACAGTACTTTGTAACTGAGTTTTCCACTTAAACATATAAACCTCTCAAAATCCATTATTTTTGTTTTTCTAACTCCTACCCTTGGACAGGAATAAGCAGCAAGTAAGAAAAAAAAAACCACAACAAAATAACCACACCAAACAAGGACCATTTATTTTAATACCCAAGTTTTACGCTTAGCATCTGTCTTTTCAGCACCATGGAAATCAATCTGCCTGACCTCCCAAGTGAACTAGCTTGGATTAAAAAGCCTTTTAATCAAGACCAACACCACCGATACAGAGGGAAAGTTATAAACGAGAAAGACTTAGAAGAATACTTCTTGCAGGCTTTAAGCGGTAAGTTGGCCATTGCTTAAAACTTTGACTAATTTTCCTCTACTATTAAGCAAACTATCAACTATCAGCTCCAAATTCTCACATTAGATTGAAAGAAAGTACCGAACTTTCAGATTGGACTATTATTACTGCTACTGGCAGAACTGTATGCATTTTTTAAAATGGAGTTTAACATACTTTCACAAAACACAGACAAGAGGAAACAAGCTTAGGTTCATTGAAAAAAAAAAAAAATAGGTCAATGGGATTCAGCACTTCATGAACAAATACTCTGAATACTCTAAATGTGCATCTGTCCAGAGGGAAAGCTAGACAAGGATCAAATGTACCCGGCAACACATATTCCAGATTAAGCAATAATAAATAGCACATTAAGTATGAAGTATAATCTAAAAAATTCTACCTTTTAAGAGAAATTATAAGTTAAAAACGTTACATTAAGTTAAACAATTTCTTTTCATTATGGTAATTTCTTGATTTCTTCGCCTTTGGAGATATTTGCTTTCTTTAATTCTTTCTAACGATGAAAACTAGAATACGTTTTTTTCTATTTACCACTGTAACTGGTATAATGGTCCACAGCTTCTTAGTCACACCCCCTGTCATTTTTGCTTTAGGATCTGATGCCTCATGAATAAGTGGTGTAAGTTTTCAGGCAGCATTATATACAACTTTTAAAGTAGACATAGCCTTTCTCAAAATTTTGGGTTTAAGTATTCTTTTGGGGCTTGAACTGTATTATGTAGCCAGAATGATTTTGAGAAAAAAAATTCTGGAGTTAGGAAAGATTTTCCCATTAACACCTAAAATATTAAAAATATATTCTTTCCTGAAAGAAAAAAAAAAGCCTCTAAATGTCTTAACAGAATAACAAATAACAAATTGACCCAAATGTCTTCCATGTCACTCAGTGAACACAACAAAAGGTAGATATAAGAAAGGTACTGTATCACTTGGTCTATACTCCTTCCAGAATACCCATGAAAGACTCCTTCCTATACCACCCTGCAAAAACGAGAAGAAAACCCCCAACAACTATGAAAGATAAGTCAGGCCTCCTTTCCCATGAGAATAACACGGCAATTACCTAGTCTCGTTCTAAGAGTTTTCTAATGAAAAAGTCTTTCTGCAATTGGATAAAGGATCTCATGCCTACAGCTTAACAGAAGTAAGTTCCGATATGCAGCAAACTAAAAATTCTGTTGTATATTAAAAATAAGTATTTGAACAAATCAAACCGTAAAAGAATGGTAAAACCCACCAAAAATATTATGACCTAGCATGACAGGCAAAGCATTCTTATAGCCTCCAGCCTAGTAAAAATAATGTTTATATACTGCTTGCAAAGTTTCTCATATAACTTGTTAGCAGCTCTGCATAGACTAGAGTACATCACTCAATATACTCAGAACAGCTCTCATGCCATTTAAGACAGAAATGCCAGAGATCTGATCTGGTATACCTAACAGGCTTTGCCCTTATTATCTTCTGAAGTCAAGACAGAGTCCCAGAACAAAGTGAAAACGTGAAGTTTATAAAACAGTAGTATCATATTCAGTTATAAAGATTGTTGACATGGAACCTTCCCCGAATACGTGGTGGCATAATTTTGCTTTGATCATCTTCTACTATTTCTACCATGCCCTGGGGAAGCGTAAACCACGACTTGTCATTGATCCTGTCACAACCTAAATATACAAGCACAAAATATGCTTGTCTCTGCCAAACAGCAGTATGAATAAACACCATGTTAGGTTTTTATCAGGTAGTCTGAACCATTCCCCATTTGTAAGCTAAGGAAACAGAATCCTCAGTTCAATCATTCAGCAATCTTAGCAGGACAACTGATTCTTAAGAGTTTCTAATGATCACAGTAGATTTCCCCGCCCCCCCCCCCCCCCCCCCCCCCCAAGAAACAGGGCTGTTGCCAACACCCTGTATAAGAGGTAGTTCTTCCTTGCACAACCTAGCAGTCCATCCCCTTTTAGTCATTAAAGGCTCTCAGAAGAAATTAGCCATTAGAGATACACCACATTAAGCCCTTAGAGGTACACATTACATTAACTACTGGCTTAAAACTCCTATTTGAATTAGTCCCAAAAACGCAAAGGTTTTTCATGCCAGCAGGCAGCTGAGCGGAAGCGGACACCCTTCCGCATGAAAAGAACTTGGGTGAGAATCCCCTAATCTACCTATACAAATAAAACATATACCTGTTGAAATCTGTCTACAAATCCAAGTCAATCCTGAAGGCTTTTCTGGTTTGTTTTTTTAAAGTTTCACGAATACTATGCAGGTAGAGGCAAACAGCTTTAACACTGAACATTTCAATCATATAATTTGTGGTTTTTTTCCCCTAACTAATTCAGGGGACAGAGGTCAGAAAATTTGGCAAACTGCATATACAGAAGAAAATCCAAAACACAACAACTAAATGCAAAATGTAAGGGAGTTAGCGGTGCTGAAATCATAAGGAATAAAAAGCTTAGATGTTGTTTTCTATGCTTTTAAGCTTGTATTTGAAAAAAGTGCACACTAGCAGAGCACACAAAAACTGATCTGCTGCTTATTTGTGGCCCTCGGGGAAATAACTGATGACATACTAACTACACTGAACATTTTCAATTTGCAATCAGTGTAGACTGTTTCTGGACATGCTACCACCCTCTTCCAGGAGACAGAACAGAGTGAGGAAATAAAAGATGGTTTCTGACCAAAGTCTTTTAAAATGACAATGGGAACGATACAAAAGGAAAAAACCTCTGTCTTGATTACTTCAGAATGCAACTATTTCCCATATCCAGTCTATATTTTCCTTGCTTGCCTTTGTATGAATTTCTTCCTTCCTCATACTTTTCTATGTCATGTCTATCCTAACTCCAAAGAGCCTCCCACAGATCTTACACAATAGCGTCCCATAGGAAAAGGAGAGCTTTTATCAATGAGAGAAAGGCGTATAATTAGCTTTAGGGGTTTCTAATGAACTCAGACACAGCCTACCTTCTCTGATTGCTTCCTTTAAGTGATCCTCTAGTCACTCCCACTAGCATACACCATGGTAATTCCACAGCAGCTCCTGCTTCTTGATACCATCAGCAGTTCCAACAAACAAATGAATCAACTTCCTGCTTCCCTTATGTCACCAATCTCACAACTGCAATTCTTTCCTCTACTGCCACCTCATCAGCCATCCTACCCCTACCACCATCTACAGCTCCTCTTCCTTCCAAGCCAAGCAACCCACTTAAACATCCAACTCAACGCAATATTTTTTCCCCCCACCTCCTCCTCCCAATTTCTTGCCAGTCATTTACTTCCCTAATCTCCTAGACTCCTCAACTTACTGACAAGTTTTGACTTATTCCTCTCAATGACACTTATAGAAGGAAAATTGCAAAGACTATTCAACAGAGGAGACCACCTACGTTAAACTGTCCTTTGTCACCATAATGGAATCTATCCTACTCCCCACAGAACCTAGAGGCTTTCCAAGGGGGAAACAGGAAGGGATTAACATTTGACTGTTCTTTTAGGTACGCTGAAGCATAGCCAAAGCAGCGTTCCTATCTGTAATTCAAGAGGACAATCTGATAGGAGGAAGACATGGTGTTGAGGAAGCACTGTACCCAGACAGCATAAAGGTTCTCTGAGTAATTCAGTAAGGGGAACCTGTCACTAGACAGCAGCAAACTAGTTTCGAGAACTTTGTCTAGAAAAGAGGACGTGAAATGAAACCTTTGTATAAGGAGGACCCTCTGCTCTGTGGGGTGCCTTTTATTTATCTACTTAACCTAACGTGAATAGCATATACACATATACCCTCTCTTTAAGGGCTACATAATTTATACTTTGAGCTCTTTGGACTAACAGGATTTTTAGTGTGTACCTAATTGGAACACAGTACACTGGGACACTGAAGCTCAACTGACGACCCAAAACACTACTAGAATTCAAAAAGCAGCAAGAAGATACTGACTATTTCACCGCTCATCTGTATAACGACTATCCCAACGCCCAGACTTGCTGAAGTCTAGACTCCAGGAAATTTAGTATAGACATCTATCTCTTGAGTCCAAAACCTATTGTAGAGAAAGAAACCTTCAACCTAGAGCTGAGCAATTTTCTCAACTTCTTCAGGCAGCTACTGATTAATATTTAATTTTTCGCTGGCAAAAGAGGAAGCCATTAGAACTGTTCTTGGTGTTAAATACTTTCAAAATCTATCAGTCTTCATTATTCTTTCATAGTTTTTTATTAATGCTATAGCACTGCGTATATGTTTAGATTAAACCTATCAGATAATTAAAAAGAACATAGCAATATTGAACTTTGTTAGTATACCCTCTTTTTATTGAGAGCAGGTCATCATCATAATATAATAGCACAGCTATTTAAGTAAATCTAGGACTGCAGACAGAAAACATCAGACATTTCATTGGAACATGCCCTATTACATTATACTTGAAACAGACACCACAGTAATCAGAAGTGGTCTAGGTTATAAAACAGAACATGAAGTTTATATGGATTAAAGAAAGTTATACTCACAGCTAGCATTTCTGTAGAGAAGAAAAGGTTCATGGAGCTGAAACTCCAAATCTTTATTTACTGGTTCAACCAGGTTGTGCATGTTCAGTCGATTCACTATCGTAAAACCATGATAAGGAGAAGCTGACCTGTTGTTTCAGTTAAAACAAAAACAAGGATTAATACCTTCATCAACGTATACGACTTTCTGAAACAGTTATGAATTAATCTTCAAATCTTCAGTGCTTTATTAGGTGAAGCTTTAGCAGTCCTGAAGCTCTAATAGTTGTTCTTCTATGCCATTTCTCAGCATGCCAACTAATTTCAATTTAAAACTACCCTTACCTCAAAGTAGGATTAACATTACAGTTCTACACTGCTAAACTGCTGAATCAAAGATGTGCCTCAAAAAAAATCTATTCAAAAAAACTAGGGCAGGTCCAGGATTAAAATGCAGGTGTATTCAGTACTTCACATAAGATAGTTTTCAGGCATTTTAGAATCTTTTATTAGAAGACAAAAAACCAAACCACTTACGGAGCAACATTTACCTTACTGTAAATAGGTATGACAATTAAAAAAGCTGTTAGCTGAAATAACATGAAATACACTTAGAGGGGAACCATAAGCAGTAATTTCTTCCTAATGGAAGACTCTTAAAATAAAGACTTAACCCAGCGTCCTCAAACTAGATATTAAATTATTCAAAACCATACTGCTTAGTGAAACAATTTTTATTATCTAGATTTTTGCTAGATACCAGGTGGAAAAAGAAAACATCAAGCAAGCAAGCACTGGAAGTTCAAGATAGTTTTAGATCTGTTTTCTCTTGCTGCATGGATGTCATGTCAGCATACTCAACTGTGCCTGTAAGCAGCCATATAACCAACACAGCAGCATGATGAAGGCAGGGTAAAAATAGATATAATTAGCTAGCAAATGTTAAATGTCTGTAACTATGTAGCCACCTTTACCGAATGATCAACAACAAAATCTGTTAAGAGCCTCTAAGAAGGGCACAAACGATCCTTACCATCACAAGTTAGTCTTTTAATGTGCCTAAAAGAACTTACTTGAAATAATCAGCTAACCACACAGAAACTTTCTTGCTTAGTTTTTTGGTTTTCAGTTTGCTTGGCTTTCTTACACTAAGTATTTCCAAGCTTGGAGCTCAAGTAAAACAGACAGGAACTGGTTACTAGTATCCCTTCACAGTGCCAGGATAAAATATTGTAATGACCTAGTCTATAACAGTCTGTCTCAGGACGGGTTAAGTCCGCATTATTTTTATTTCTTAGATTCAACAGTGTTATTTCATTGTTAGATTTTTGATTTGCCTGTAATTTAAAGCTTAAATCCATGCTTGGTTTTATGTGCCGGTTCTCCCCCCAACCCCTTTCCCCCATCCCATATAATTGGAAATTTCTTTCATGGTTTTGATGAGGAAATCAAGTAGCCCCCAAAACTATGCACTAGCAGATCTCCAGCTTTTAGGCAACTTTGTCCATTTACATGAAATTCTGCCTTTTCCCAACAGTAAGTTAGGGCAGATTATTTGATTTGTCATCTGAATTGTTTTCATAATCAACTTTATGGATTTTAGGAGACAAAGGAAGACTCAGCATTTAACAAACTCACTACATTAACAAATGCTATTAGATTAACAAAATAAGCTCAATAAACTAGGTTTTTGTGTGGATACATATGCAGTGTTCATCAAGTTTTATGATTTTTCAGCAGTACTTTTAGGTGCTTTTGACAGAGTCATTCACCTATGCGCAGAGTTTATTCTTTTCAAATGAGTATACAGATGTTAACAGCTGGACAAATAAGTAATTATGAGTTTACTGGAAGCAGTAAATCCAGTATGAAAGCTACTTATGAAGCCATCTGAGGTTTGTTTTCTTAAGGAAGGAAAATGAATGCCCACTCCCCCCCCCCAAAAAAAAACCTTACCTTTTGTACACAAATAAGGTCCCTTCTATGTCGGTTTTCTCCTACAAGAGACAGCAATTGCATTTAAGGGATATGCTTATTCACCCCGTTATGTAGCTTTTGTATAGCATTTTAATTAGAGAGATTTACAATATCCTTATCTTCCCATGAGGTCTGACATCATAGGACTAAAAATATGATCTCTTATTTCCAGAAACTACCTATTTTTTCTTCGTAAGATTAGGAAATTAATCCCATTTCCAGAAGATTTTTTTCATGCTATCAATCTGATGATGTGATATACAGTATTCTACAACCTTCCTATGCTGAGCCTGAACACCTTTCACACAACTCCTTATTTTAGATATGGACTACAGCCCATTAGTCTGCAAATAGCAGATAGGTTGTCTTCCACAGTGTTACTTAAAGGACAGCAATGACAGCATAGCCAACAACAAAACAATAGAACTACGGACCGTGGCTCTGTTTCATACTTCAGTTTTCAAAGCAACCTTTACCGTGTGCTTGTAACCCACAAGCACAGAAAGTTGTGTGCAGCTCCGGTGCTGGATATGACAATGTGAAATTCCACATATTTCCATTTTTATAGTTTTGTGATAAAACCGGCAGTCAAGCAAAAACTGCGTTTTAATGCAATGACGAATACTAACATTTCTCAAACCCCACTCTTCCTAAATCAGGGCTCTGCTCAACACGCATGAGCAACAACAATTACAATTTAAAAAAAAGTCAACCCAGCAACGGCCACCAAGAGCAAAAGAAACCTCGAGCCCCACAGCTGCTTCGGTCACAGCGACCCCCCGGAGGTGAACGACGCTGTGCCTCCCCGTGCGCAAGCACAGGCTCTCCTCTCCTCTGGCACGAGCGCCCTTCGGGGTCGACACCTCCGTCGGGGGAAGGCACCCAAATCCCAAACTTCCCCTTGGACGA